GACCTCTTTTTGCTACACAAGTTCCAACCATGGAACATAGGTAGAGAAATTAGTTCATAGATCACACAGTGATTATCTTCACAAATTTCTTTCAGACGTGCGGTCCTCTTTCAAAAAAAATGTTCCTCGTGATACAAATATTTCGCTACGAGGATATATTTTCGATCATAAGGTTTGGATTATTTCGACATGTTCATGTCAAAGTCGCACAGTATACCAATACCCAAGATATATGAACGAAAACCCAATGCGAAATTATATTTTCCTAGGGAATTTAGGGAGGCAAAAGCAAGTTTAAAGTTCATCAAAGTTAATCTTCTCAAATTACAAACACGATATCAGGCATGATCTGTCATTAGATAAGTAAACGAATCAGAAGTCCCGGGTAAAAAGAAAATGAAATAAACCTCTCCAATTGGTTACTCGCCTCACAGAGCATTGAAAGCATGTCACGTGGGTTGCAAGTGGTAATGAGGTAGTCTATAATCCTCTCCGCGTACTTCCTACATTCATCAGAGACACCGACGAACTTCACCACCAGCTTCGGAAGCTCCAAAGAGAGTGCATCTACTGTCATCTGCAAACGAATGCGACGACACATCAAAGGCCTAAACACCTACCTCAAACGGGGACAATTTTCTGAAAAATATTAACCTCATCTGCAGTAGGAGATGATAAAAATTCAAGGATCTCCAGCAACGCCTCCTCCGAGACGGCCTCCCTAGGGACAACATTCTCCGAAGCTGCCGGTGACCATTCCACTATGTTGTTCAGCAGTTCGACAACCTCCGCGATCGCCTTGTCTCCGCCACCGTAATCCCCGGCGCCAAAATACTAGTACAAAAAAGAAGAATCAGGGCATAGTGCAGAGCAGTTCTCCCTCCCTGTCCCCCAGCTAAATCCCGCTCACGCAGAACGTACCTTGGAGCAGTTCGTGAGGGCCTCCCGCAGCCGAGAAGAGACCGAGGAAGAAGGCTCGCCGTCAAGCCACACCCTCCCGATGTCGATTCCCTCATGCGATGTCCTGGCGGAGGCCATGACTCTGGCTTCACGCTCCTCTTCCTCCGACCTCGCGGGCCCACCGGTGCCTGCTCTCGTCAAAGGGGAAGGAACCCACTGGTGGGAAAGGGGCTGAGAAATTCAACCAACTTTGGGCCGCCATACTTTATTTATTGGCCCCCCCGCTTAGTTAGATCTCCAGCCCATCGCCCTAAATGGGCCCCCAAAGGGATCGGTGAGATCCTCTCTCTCTCTCCATCCCTCCCACTTGGTTAGAACATCCGGCCCATTCAACAGAAGGCGTCGCCCTAAATGGGCCCCCAAAGGGATCGGTGAGACCCTCTCTCTCTCTCTCTCTCTCTCTCTAGATCAATGGCCATGGTCGTAGGTGGAGAAACCAAACAAGACAACATTGGTTGTAATACTCGAGTCAACGTTTTATGGCCCCAAAAAATAAAGCACGCATTTTTTATAATTCCAGTCCCGGGCATATTTTACAAGGCCCGTACGCAACCTGGTCCCCGATAATGAGCTCCAAAGATACGCCCATCACATGAGCGAAGAGAGAGAGAGAGAGAGAGAACAAGAACAGGCCTCAAGCTTCCGAACTGGGTTCCACCGGAGCCATGTCTGCATTGATAAATCTAACTTACGATCGTCGAGCCAGAATAGTCAACGCATGATCGACTGGATGGGTGCGGATTAAGACGCCATCGGGAAAAATAAAACCGCAAGGTACGCATAAACTGTGATGGGAGCAAATCGGATAAATATGAGGCAACTCTCCCCTGATTCAGATCGAGCGCATCAGCAATAAATTATGTGAAATTATAAAAAATCGGAGTCGGCTCCATCAGAGTCGCCCATTTGGACTGTTCAGGATTAAAAAAAAGTCAACGTCGGCTCACGGTATTCGGTGTGGCGGGCAACTAGCAGTATTATAATGCAGTTGATTAGTCGGAAACCCCGAAGTCTTCTGGCACCATCTTCTAGGATGGCGCCGCAGAGATTAACAAAAACAGAGTTAGTCTTGTTTCAGCGCCGCCGATTGCGTCTGTCATCGGCCATTAACAAATGCTCGGGATGTTGATTAAGGACAAGCAGATGACACCCACCTGGGGACGTGCGGCGCTCGCGTGGAGTCCGGTCAAACCGCCCGCCTGAAGATCCCGCCGCGAAAGGTGCCGGAGACGGCGGCCAGAGTCGCCGGAAATGGTGGAAAGGCACACGATGGGAGATTCTCGCTCCTACGCTCCCGGCGTTCTGGGGTAGATCGACGCCGATCGTGCCGGCGAAGACTCAGAAGCTTCCGCGGATGGTCACCAGACAGATATTCAACGAGACTGCCGATCTTTGATAGCAGTTTGCGTACAGGCCCCTGCCCCCTCCAGCAAGTAATCACAAAGTACAAAGATCTCACGGATTCTCATATGGCGCACCTACGGATCAGATAAATTGAAAGAAGGGGAAGGAGAGGGGCGGAACTTCGAGGACGAGAGCGCGACTAGATACAGGCCGCCGCTGCGGGCGTCGGATGCGGCGGCGTGGGAGGGAGCCGGGCGGAGAAGCTCCGAAACTGTAAATCCGAGGGGGAAACCTCCTCCTCCTCGTCGAAATCGGGGCCCTCGTCGAAGTTGCGGGCGTAGCTCAGGGGATCGTACCTGAAGTCGCCGGAGTGACGGCGGGACCTCCCCATCCGCGACACGAGATTCCGGCACTTGTCCTTCAACTCCGGGATCTCGTTCGCCTTGGAACGCACCCAAGCTGCGGAGGAGCTCATCAACGACGGTTCCTGCGCGCCCTCGGTCGGTGATTCCGCCGGCTCGCCGCCTCTTCCCCGGAAGCAGCAGGAGAAACAGTTGGAGGAGCGAATCCTCCGCTTCAGAGAATCTCTGCGAAGGTAATCCATCGGATCCGGCTTCCTTCGCTTCTAGCGCGATCCAACCCTGCGGCTAGGGCTTCGAGCGGGAGGAAGAAGACGATCGAGAACGGGAATACCCAGTTGGCAACGGCCAGCGTAGGGCCTTATGCGCAGGCTCTCCTCAAAAGGGGTCGGGACAGGAAATATCCAGCTGTCTTTTATTTTATTTATATTCAATTGTATATTCCCGTTTCGCCCGGCGGTTTCGTGGCCGTTACCTGGTTTTGGCGCGCACGCCTCCGCGTTCGACTCGGAATCGGTCGGTTCCTTCCCCTACGACTCGGGTTAGGACGGGCCCACAAATTGGGCTCGAAAATTGGATCTAAATGGGCCTAATTGGGCCTTTACATATTCCTGTCACGAAAAGGGCCCTCTTTTTTGTCCTTTCGACCAATTTGCCTGCAAAAGAGCGCGCCGCCTCATCAGTGCCGCTCCTTTACAAAAGTCAACCCCTTTCCCGCCGACTTAGTTGACCAGACTGGAAGGAGATATTTAAAAGACGGCTTTGTAGGGTTCTAGGGCTAGCCAGAATCCCTGTTTGGACGGGCCTGGCCAAACAGATTTTAAAGAGCCGATTTTTCAAGCTTCGGCCTGATAATCTGGGCCCCACCGGGCTGGGCTAGCTTCGGGCTTTTCATACCATTTATAGGAGCCAGCTATTGCACGGAAGATCAAACGACCGGCTACGTGGATACCTAGATTTCTAATTATGGCAATTTTCATACTTGCATACCTGAAAAAATGGATGGTCTGCGTTTCTCCACGTTACTCTCGCTGTCCATTTAATATCAAAAAATATATTTTCCCCAATTCGGTTAAAAATAAGAATTGAATAATTATTTTATTTGCCGGAATATGATGCCTTGGGGATCAACTATCTTCACGGGATATTTGACCGATTAATTATAATCTAGCCAATTGGATTTGAGTAATTATTATCATTAAGATAAGTGTCAATTCAACGTCAACGTTGACGTCAACTTTGTTAGCCGCGTTATTAATTATCGTCTAAAAATACACGTGAAACACGGGAAACTTTTGATTTTGATAGCTGTTTTGCGTAGAAATCCTTTTTTGATTTGAAAATTATCAAAATTAACACTGATAAAAATATGTTGATAGATGTGTCCTTTTTACAAGCGCGATATCGTGGTACAGTGTTCCGCGGGCATTGTGAGAAAAGGGTAGATTCCGCGAGCTTCCATCGTGACCGCTCGATGGAAACACGTGCGCTGTGCCGAGGCAAGAGAGGGATGACGGAATCACGCTTAAGAAAATGTTCCCCACGGGTACATCAGAACGCCCAGGAGATCCTGGTGGTGGTAACGCCGCGGTGGCCCTTCGTTTGTCACTCGAACCCCAGATGCCGCGAATAATATCTGACAAGATACCGTCGGCGATGCCCGTCACTCGTCGGTGACCTTAAGCCTATCCGTCCCCCCGATCACCTCACCATTCTAGTGGACGATGACGCGGCACGTCATCGGATGTCCCACGACCACGGCTCATCAGACCACGGGTAAAAAAAAAAACCCTCGGTTAATAAAACCAAACAGATAAAAAATTACGTATTTGCAAAAATACCTTATAATATTTATAAAGCTGCAAATGCCTATTCTGGAGAAAAGATCTGAAAGCAGAAATGGGGCTATCGAGAAATAAATTATATAACGGGTTTTAAATTCTATTTAAAAACTTTCAGCTAGGGGAGGGGGGAAGAAGAAGACCAGGGCCACGAGTCGCCGGTCCCTGAGTGTGCCTTCCAGAAGTAACCGGGAAGGGCCTCCGGCCATGCGGCGGAGCTTTCCCGGTAGAAAAATCTGCCCTTTTTCTCTCCTCACCCAGTACATATAAATGGGTGCTCTCTCTCTCTCTCTCTAGCGTTTAACTGCTCATCTTCATCTCCTTCTCTTGAACCCAATTTCGCCCCCACGCAGGCCAGCTCAGATATCTCCTCCCCCAACCCACCCACCTGCCCCGTCCGAACCTTCTCTCCTCTGATCTCGCGCCCTCATCTCCTGCTTCGGAGCGGCCCCGTTGGTGCCCAGATTTAGTTCGGGGGGGATTCGCCGGTATCGCCATGTGCGTGAGGGAAGTCGCGGAGGAGGAGGAGGCGGAGAAGATGGAGAAATCGGAGCCCGAGAGCTCCCCCGCGGCCAGAAGTTCTGCTACTGTAAGGACCATTGCGATTTGCCGTCTTCGTCTTGCTATCGGACGATCCTATTGCCTTATCCCTGTTCATGTTCATGCTCCTCCCCTTTTGAATCCTCCACGAAGATTGATGGATGGATGGGTGTGGGCTGGCGCTTTGATCTCTGTGCCTGGTTCGTTCGAATCCTGTTCTCGTCGTGTTCTCTCTTGGCGAGCAGGTTTGGGGTTGGGGGGTGCAGAGATGGGTCGGATGAGGATTTCCCTTTCGAATTCTTATGGATGCCGAATTTAATTATTTCGATCGAACTGGGAATTGGGTCGCAGAAAAATCGATTCTTTTTTTATTCGAGATAGTTTTCCATAATTTTTCTTCTTTTAGATCTTCAGCAGTCAATCATTTCCAGATGAAATGTTGTTACGGATATCAGTTACCCTTTTCGTGATTTTTGTTCCCTTTCCCTTTTTCTGCATTAAGATTTTTGCATTTTTCATAATTAAAGATGCCGGAGCAACCTTTTTTTACATTAAAAAACATTTTGCGCCGCCATTTTAAATACCAAAAATCAGACCAGAGATGTTCATTCCATCTTGTTCTGAATGTCGCTCAGATAAATCAATGCCCTAATTAATACTTCATTAAGGAGAAAAAAAAAACTCAGATAATAAATGAGAGTGGTCGGCAGAATTCGGCATGCTAGCTTCGGCCAATTAAAATGGAATGACTTGCCAATCTAGGAAAGCAGAAAGATCTAACGATTGTTCATGGAACATATAATGCCGTACATTGCATGATGAATGGTTCGTTGATCATTGTATGTGCTTGGTTTGGTCTCCTGTGCTCAGAATTTTCCGCCCTCTCCCTTGCTGTCTGCAGCTGGAAAGCATCTGTGAGAACACGGTGGCTCAGGACGTCCCACTCAAAGGGTCAGAGGACAACCAGAAGGCCACAGGGAACTACGTCCCCGCGATCCGGCATGGCGAGTGGGCCGATATCGGCCAGAGGAAGTACATGGAGGACACCCACGTCTGCATCGAAGACATTGCCAAGAAGTTCGGTAGCCGGGCACTGGACCAATGCTCTGTTTCCTTTTATGGAGTAGGGCTCTGTATCCTCCTCGCCAATCACTTTCTTTTTTCTCAATTTCTGAGAGCAAAAGGGTCGGAAGGGTTTAATGAGAAAGTTTGGGTTTCTTACCTGTCCGGGTTGATCCGACGACAGGGTTTCTGTATAGGGTTTTGTGATCTGATTACTTCCCCCCTGGTTTTACTTCTGTTATCGGCATGGGGTTGGTGGCAGATGGTTCGTACCTGTAATTGAGCTCGACTGCACTGGTGCAGGTGTTCGACGGCCATGGAGGGAAGGACGCGGCGCACTTCGTCCGCGACAACCTGCCGAGGCTCATCGTGGAGGACGCTGGGTTCCCTCTCGAGCTGGAGAAGGTCGTTGCTCGGTCCTTCGTGGAGATCGACGCCCAGTTCGCCCAGACCTGTTCTGGCCAGTCGGCGCTCTCCTCGGGCACGACGGCGCTCACCGCCATGATCTTCGGCAGGTCCCGTCCTCCTCCTCAATCGGCTCTTCCTCAGTCGCTGTTTGATCACGGAATTGAGTGAAATTCTGGTGGGTGAGTGCAGGTCGCTGCTTGTCGCCAATGCCGGGGACTGCCGGGCGGTACTATCGCGGGCGGGAACGGCGGTGGAGATGTCCAAGGACCACCGGCCCTGCTGCGGAATAGAGAGAATGAGAGTGGAAGCACTGGGGGGGTTCATCGACGGCGAGTACCTGAACGGGGAGATTGGGGTGACGAGGGCTCTGGGGGACTGGCACCTGGATGGAATCAAGAGCGCCGATGGAGGGCCGCTAATTGCTGAGCCGGAGATGAAGATGATCACTTTGGGGAAGGACGACGAGTTCCTGGTCATCGGCAGCGACGGGCTGTGGGACGTGTTCACGAGCCAGAACGCGGTGGACTTTGCCCGGCGGCGGCTGCAGGACCACAACGACGCGAGGGCCTGCTCCAGGGAGCTGGTTGAGGAGGCCATCAAGAGGGGGGCGGACGACAACCTGACGGCGCTGGTGGTGTGCTTCCAGGCGGAGCCGCCGGCGGCGGCGGCGGTGCAGAGGTCCCGTGTCCGCCGGTGCATCTCAGCGGAGGGCCTGCAGAGCCTCAGGGGTCTCCTGGGTGGCGGCCAAGATTAGGCCGGGAAGAACACCTGTACACTGTTCAGGTAGGGCGGCAATGTGTTTTGAGGAACTGTAAATAAGAGGCAGAGACTCATGCGAGCAGTTTGTCATTGATCACCTGGTTTAGTAAAAACCAGGAGTTTTTCACAGGGAGATGATCGATCTCAGGCCCCCCTCTCTCTGTATAGATCTCAGCCCGCCTCGCTATAATGAACCTGGGGAGATCTTCTCTTCGGCACCGATCGGGGTTCGGACATTCTGAGAGTTTCCCCTTTGAACCTGGTAGATTCTAATGATCGCATGGTGGTTATCGCCGGAAAACGACACGATGATCGGACCGCGTGCACCAATTCAAGCAGGAATAATTGGGAGGATACTTCCATTGACTGTACGTAGTAAATCCGTCATCAGGATATTACTGCGATCATAGAATAAGCGTGGATTAAACGTCATTTGAGATAAAAATGAAATCGGCGGACCTTCGATGGGTTTCCTAGGGTTCTTCGTCGTGAAACCTAGACCAATGCTGTTCCAACAACAGTTCCCACCCTCGCGGGGCTCTTCCCCTTCCCGGATTCGTTCGATCTGGAGAACGCTTAAAGGTAAAATGCCTGATCGAGAGGTTCTCTAAAAATCAACAAACAACTAATCACCAACAATTTCCTGATTCACTGATTAACCTCAGGGAAACCCTCGGCGGCACCAGAAAAGACCTCCGTCTGCATCACAAACCACATCCCAAAAGAGAAATCCGTAAAAGATCTACCGAGATAAACCAGAAGGACCACTACAAACGTGCATCTCGGGGATCGAGCATTCGGATACCAAAGATCCACCAATGCCTGACCATATAAAAGCGGAAAGCAGGAAGACGAGAATCAGATAGCTAGAACACCGCGCCCATTGGTGAGCACGAACACCGATACCTCCGAAAGAAGACCGAAAAGAGGCATACGCGCTCCACCATGGTAGACCGAGGAGAGAGAAACTGGCATCGAACTGACGAGAGGCGGGGGAGCAGGACGACGCCCTACTCCCTTAAATTATTCAAACGTAATAAATTAAATTTATGGGTTATTCTCCCATAAATTGATAAATAGGAAATAGGAAAATGTTTATAAAATAAAACCTTTTGATAATATTTATTATGAAAATGTCCTATTCCACCTCCGAAAAAAAATGGATATGAGCCGGGTCGTAATGGGCTCGGCCCATTTTTGTTCTCGGGCTTCATTTATCTCTGCACGTCTTTGATGCGTAATTTTTAAGTTTTTCTATAAAAATATTTTACGATATATATTATTTCGAAATAGAGTCAACGTGTGAGAACTTTAGCCCATGTGGGCTCGGGCCATGGAGAACGTGGCCACGGCGATTTCTTGATGTGGAGTTCATCTACTCACATCATATCCATGCATATTTAATGAATGCACTAAAGTTTAGTGGGTGTAACCGTTGACATCGCCATTAAGAGATCAGTGGATTTAAATGCCCAATGCCCAATGGAGGGGTGATTTTTTTAAATAACGGGGTAACTTCTGGAAAATTCGAGCCGATGAGGAAAATGGCAAATTATGAATTAAATACTCTTAATTAAATATTTGCGAATTTAACTCACCGAAATGACAAAAATTAAGAAAAAACACTGAAATTTTTAGGAGAAAAAAATATTTTAAAGGACATTAGAGAAATATATGAAGTCACATGGCACAATGACAATTATGAGGGGAATTACATGGAAAAATTCTAGAAAAAGATCCATATCTAGCACATTTGGCCCTTATAAAAATTATTTATAGAGAAATGTAGAGAAATAGTACCATGATCAAGCAATATGGGAGGTGGGTGAGCACCACATTCTCTTCAGAATAGCCTCCTAGAAGCTATTTCACAAATGGGGAAAGAAAAATAGAAGCTCATAACCCCAATTATTGTAAAATCTGAAAGAGCTTTCTAATACTATAAATGAACCCATTTTAACATCACAAAAAACACATGTTACTAAACAAATTGAGAAAAAAAACCCCAAAATTGCATGAAAAATCTTCTTCATTTTCAGCTAGTTCTGTTTGAATGGACACTAAAATATACAGTTGACTTATTCAAAGAAATAGACACTAGTGGGTGTAAACAAACAATTACTTCCATCGATCCTAGTGAAAAATTAAGATGGGAAAAATACAATTTACAAACACATCAAGGAAGATACTAAATATTAGTAGGAAACTAATCTATCTTTTTCATACAATGTCAAATATTGCAGATACCACAGGACTACTTAGTCAATTCATGCATAATCTAAAAGAAATACATGACAAGGCAACTAGACACATGTTCTCTTGTACTTGAAGGGAACACTAAGGCGTGAAATTTTATTTCAATCTAATGATTATGTCAGATCAATTGTTGATAAAAGGCCTATGATGTGACTTAGTCATTATAGAATAAATCATGTAAATTTAAAATTTATAAAACTAGAAAATACTAATTTTCAAATATTTAAAAGTATTTTTGAACAAAGATATCAATTATAATTCAATAAAAGTTCTAAAAATAATGAAAAGTTTTCATGTCGATCATAAGGGTGTAATGTAATATTGAGTAATATTTTAGAATTTTTCTCAAGGAATATATTTTTTTCTAAATTTTAAATTAAGGAATAAAAATAAAATATATTTAAAATTTATGAAAAAGAAAAAAAGGGTATCGGTGTCATGATGATGTCAACATCCAACGAATGCAAATTAGAAAAAAATAGAGTCTCATCTGATGATTCTTATGCAAGCGATTACATATGATTTAATTTGTCAAAATAAGATTTATAAAAGTCAGAAGAATCGTAATTGAATGAAGAATAATTTTAAAAATTTAAGTCACACAATATCACTAATATAAAGTGATAATTAAGTTGAAAATAAGAAAGATAGAGTTACGGTCTTGTGACAATAATCGTTAGAATTTTATGTGTTCAAGAGGATCATCAAACGATGCCTATGACCTCAAAGGTTTTTCTTGGACATGAATGACTTATACATTTATTGAATCTTCTTTCAAAGTTTAAAAAATAATGATAGAAGTTAAACTAGTTAAAATAATAATAAAATAGAGTTCCAGTATTGTGGCAGTGATACGTTGGTGATGCATCAAAATCTTAAGCGTTTGAGAGGATTGTTATATAGTGTCTACAACCTCGAAGGCTCTCTTTGAACAAGAATGATGTGGGCAATCTCTAAATCTTCTTACGAAGTCTAGAGATCAATGAAATGGGTCGTCAAATCATCTTTGACAATTGTCATCTAGCGGAGCGAAAAAATGACGACTTTACAGCTCTCTAGTGGCTGTCACCCAATAGAGATGAACTGAATGGAGGTAGGGCGCATCTTAGGGAGCTTCATCCTCAGGTCAGAGGAGGCTCTTCATTGCATCTGATACACTCTCAGGAGATGACGATTCGTTTCTAAGTAGATCATTCTTTTTCAAATAACGACTTGTTCATTGATCAATCAAAGATGATTTACTCGATGGATTCACGATCTTTTTATCATGAATTGTTCAACAATTTTAGTAACAATATTTCACTAATCGCATTGACGAGATTTTCATCGATGATTGAATGATTCAAAATACTTAATTATTCACCGTTAATTTCTAAAAAAATCATAATTTAATCAGATAAAAAATATGAGTTTTAACTTTGGTAAGATTTGAACCTACATCGGTCGCCTGCCTATATGAGAGAGTGAAATAAGTACTCGAATACTCTTATACAATGGCGTCATCATGATATCTCGTTATTATAAATAAAAGGTATTTTAGGTATTAAAACTATCAAAAATATTCTAAGAAAGATAGTTTAGTTTCACATTAGTTATATGCCAAATGTTGACACGAATATATAGTAATATGAGATTTAAGAATCAATGAGTCTCTTTCTTATGTGTGTATGACCACTCCTTACTCTACGTTTTGTTGACTAATAAGTTTTTATTATCATGAGTTAATAATTAGTAAATAATATAGTTTTAGTCTTAAATCATGATAAATAGACTTATATTTGTGTTAAAATGTGAAAAGTGGTTTTCAGTTAAATAACGTGAATTTTTGGTAATTATGTGATTTTATACGAATTTATATGATTTTTATAGTCTTAATTTTGAGATAAATGAAGAAAAAGAAAATAAAATAAAAATAAAACAAAATGGGGGGGACCCGCCGGCCAGCCAGGCCCACAAACAGGTCGGAAGCGCAGTTAAGGAGTAGCCATGAGCAGGGGCTCAAGCGGTTAAGACCGATAGAGGCACGTGTGTGCCACTCTCCTTTCACATCACCGGTGGCCAGCCGACTGTGGGGCAAAGAGTGGTCATACACGGGGGAGAAAGGAACTTGATTGCAAATGTAATATTACTATATATTTGTCAGAAACTTCGGCGCACAAGCGATGTGGGACTAAACTCGCCACACCTTTCCCAAAAAAAGCGGGTAACCGACGTAGGTTTGAATCCTTTTAGAGCCAAAACTCATATTTTTTATCTGATTATCACGACTTTCCTACAGATCACCGGTGAAGGATTAAGCAACTAGAATCGTTAGATCATCGACGAAAATCTCATCAACGCGATTCATGAAGTATTGTTACTAAAATTATTGAACGATTCACGATAAAAAGATCACAAATCTATCGAGTAAAGCATCTCCGATTGATTGACGAACAAGTCATCATCAGGAAGAGGACAATCTGTCGGAAGATGAGTCGATACCTCCTGAGAGCATATCGGATGTGATGAAGAGCCTCCTCTTGCTGTGCGGACCTGAGGATGAAGCTCCCTGACACACGTCCCACCTCCATCTAGCTCATCTCCGTCAGGTGACAGTCGCCAAAGAGTTGCAAAGTTGCCGTTTTTTCGCTCCGCTAGGTGACAGCCACCGGAGACGATTCGATGACCCATTTCATTGATCTCTAGACTTTGCAAGGAGATCTAGAGATTGCCCACGTCGTCTTTGTCTAAGGAAAGCCTTCGAGGCTGTGGACACTGCATGACGATCCTCCCGAATGCTCAAGATTCCGATGCATTGCCGACGCATCACCGCCGCGACGCCGGAACTCTGTTTTCATGCTTTCAACTTAATTTTCACTTTATTTAATGATAATTTGTGTGATTTAAATTTACCAAGATATACTTCGTTCTATTACGATTCTTCCGGCTTTTACAGATCTTAATTTGATCAATTAAATCGTCTGTAATCGCTTACGTAAGAATCATCGGGTGAAACATGTTTTCGTCCGATTCGCATTCGCGGGGCACTGACGTCATCCTGACGTCCGCACCCTTATTTCCTCTTTCGTGAATTTTAAATATATTTCTTTTTTATTTCCTAGTATAAAATTTATAAAAAATAGTATTCTTTGAGTAAAATTCTAAATAATTATCAGATATTATATTACATCCCTATGATCGACCTAAAAAATTATCACTATTTTTGGAATTTTTATTAAATTATAATTGATATATTTGTTCAAAAATACTTCTAAATATTTAAAAAGTCGTATTTTCTAGTTTTATAAATTTTAAATTTGTATGATTTACTATACAACGACTAAGTCACGTCACAGGCCACTAGTGATATGGAAAAGAAGTGATGCACAATTCACTTTACAATTAAGTACATCATGATCATAGAAAGCACATTGAGATAGCTTGTTATTTCATCAAGGAGAAGATCAATTATGGAATCCTCTACATCTCTCATATTAGATCGAAGAACTAATGTACATATTTGTTTACCAATGGACTATACAATCTCACTTTGTAGAAATTGATGAGTAAGTTGAGAATATAAAATATCTATTCATCAACTCAAGGGGGAAGTATTGGAAGATGAAATTCTTACTCATATTTTTCACATATGTATCATTTTATTTTTTTATTTTCTTTATTAGTCATATAGTTATCAAGTAAGATCCAGTTATATCTTATAACCAACTTGATAACCCCAATATATGTACTTAAAGGGGTTGTGAGCCCTAAGATGAATACAATTTTTATTTTACCATCACTTTTTAAGTTCCTTGTTAGACAACATTGTGAGCATTAGGGCTTGAAAAGCAACAATGTCACATTCAAATTGTACAACACAAAAGAGAGAAGAGAGAAGACAAAGAGTAAGTACACATATATGTGCAGAAAAAGAACAAGTATGTGTGTATGTCACCCACATAGAAGAGGAAGATCCATTCAATATCACACCAATGAAGTGCCGTAGTTAGAACAACTTAGGGCTTTGTAGGAGAAAACAAAGACTAGCGGTCCTAAATGAACTTTGATACCATGTGAAAATAGAAAGAGTGTAAGAGAAATGTCAATGAATCACAAAAAAAGGAAGACATACAATAGAATATATACATTACCTTAAGCATATCTTTTCTACTTAAGCAACATAACTATAACAAGAAATCCTAAATAGAAGTACAAGTGAACAATAAAGTGACACACATGTGCCTACCTTGCCGACACATGCAGATGTTGTCTCTTGCTCCGCCATGCGTGTGTGGAGTGGAGTGGCTTGCTACTTTCAATCAAAAAAGGAAGAAAAATTAAGCAAGGTATTGTAAATAAGAAACTTATGACACTGTCCACTCCTCTATGATAGCCCATTGCCAGTCATATAGAATGCTCTAGGATCCAATTGTGGTGTTTCATTAGACAACATTGTGGCCATCATGCCGACACCCAAACATGCAGTAGCATCCATGTGCGACGGTATGACACCCACACATAGGGTTATCTAGTTGATTATAGGGTGGAAGTGGATCTAACATGATAAGTATAAGGATCAAAATATATTATGACGGAGCTACAATACTTTATTGTTTTTTCACAAATATTTAGATCTCATAGACATATTATCGATATTTTTCAAGATATGGAAGAGTACAAAAACATAGATCCCTAAAAAGAGAGAAAAAGATATATATATGTGAATAATTTTTTACTATCAACTTCAATGATTTAAGAAAAATAGTTTAGAGAAGGTTATGCATAACAAATGAGATATGAATTATGAATTAAAAGTTTGGAGTTAGATTTAAACTTTAGTGACATAGTGCACTAAATTTTTTCACTTAAAAAAAACATCATAAATTAAAATATTAGTGAGCAAGTTAAAAAATTCATGTAAACCCAATCTGAATTTTTTTCTCTATAATGATATAATATGAATTATATTTTATAGGGCTATCATTCAGTTAATTTCACTTAAAGTGATTCATTAGAGTTTAAGTATTTGAGATTATGACATCTCTTGTAAGTATAAACATAAATGTAAAATATATGTAGAGACTATGTCCTATTTTAATTTTATGATGGACTAAATTATAAAAAGACATTAAAAGACTAATTTTTAGGTCACACGTTGTGAGTCACTTTTAGAGCATTCCATCTCTCTTAAATAAGTCATTGAATAACTCTCATGTGTTGATCCAAAAGACTATCCTTGTACTTACGTCTTTATGAATTCAAGTATGACTTTAATCTATTCTCATTGTGTTTTAACATTCTCTATCTATCTCAACACTAGATCCTTCATATTTAACAAATATCTCATCCATAAGTATACTAGATAGAATTAGCATTTACAATTATTTTTATATTTTTCAAAAGCCTATTAAGAAGATTATAATCGTGAAAATTCAATCTAGAGAGAGAGAGAGAGAGAGAGAGAGAGAGAGAGGAAGAAGAATAGGAATATGATGCTGTAGCCGATGCGGGAGACGACGAGGTTCTGAATCCCGAAGGCGGCGAGCTCGAGGGTGCTGAGGTGGCTGACGAGAGTCTGGGTCATGGAGGACATGCAATACTGGAAGAGGTGAGGATGGCCAGCCCGGTGATGCACCCAGTTCAGGCAGGCCTCCCGCCACACATCCACACAGAACGAGCACAGCAGCGCCATCCTCCCCTCGCCAGGCGTTTCCCTCCGCCATCTGCCGGCAAGATCACTGGAGCTCCCTACTCCGGCAGGTAGCAAGACCCTCCCGTCCTCTGCCAATGTACCTCTGTCTGTAGGGCCGCTTCCCCCCCCCCCCCCGCCAAAAGCACTGCCGCCTCTGCTTCCGACCAGTCTGCGAAGGAACCAATGAGAGAGAGAGAGAGAGAGAGGCGTTGTGGAGAGACGTGGCTTCTTGTGGAAGATGCCTGGCTCCCGCCCTTATCTGCTGTGCCCATAACGGTCTCCCCACGTGTGGGTAATGAGCTTGGTCCGGCTCAAATGGCCCATCTTGACATTTGGGCCAACGTAGGCTCGGAAAGGATAATAGCCCAAAATAAAAAAGTGGTCCCTAGATGGGCCGATTCTGTGTGGCTATGGATAAATAGTCTTTATACGGCCCATAAATGGCCCCTATTAAAAATTGGGCCGAAAATAGGCCCGTGGAGAAGAACAAGCCCAAAATAGGAAAGAAGGGCAGAGCCGATTATTCAAACGTTATAAATTAAATTAATGGACTATTTTCCTTAAATCGATAAATAGGAAATAGTAGGTGGCTACCTTGACCCAGCCTTCCAAATAAAACCTTCAAAGAATATTTATTATGTGAATATTCTGCTTCACGTGTGTGTGCCTTTTTATTTTTGGGCTTTATTTGTGGGTGGAAGCATTGAAAGCACTCTCTCACACCATCAGTTGCCTTTTTGTATGTATAATATTTTACGGGAATATATATATATCTAAAAATAAAGTCAACGTGAGAGAACGTGCACTGTTTTAGGAGATTGGGTGGTTGATCTACTTACATCACATCTATATGTATTTAAATTTATGCACCTAAGTTTGGGAGGGTGGAACCGTTGACATCACCTCATGAAGTTTAATCGGTCAACGCCGTCCTTAAATGGGCACAAGGGGCAGTTGACGTGGAAAAGGGTGATTTTTTATTCGCGTGGCTGTTGCCAGAAATAGAAAATAGGAAAAAAATAAAATAGGAAAAAATAAAGGGCCAAGTAGGTCGGAAACGACGAAAAAAAATATAAATAAATTGGATAATGAGCTATTAAATTCGCCGAAAATGACAACAAATAAAGAAAAAATGCGTGCCCCAGACATCCATATCTCGAATGAAAAGCACGTGCTATCTAAGGAAAACGAAATAGATATTATTTTTGAGGGCATGAAAGAGATACACACAAAGTTACCACCTATTTTGAGAAATTTGTATATTTAAAGGGTGTAAATCGGAAAAGGAAGACGATAGTCAAAGCATGTCCAGGCCGCAGAGAATCATCTGTGGTCCGGCGGGTGAACCGTCATCACCGGTCGCATCGCCACGTCGCGCTCTCCTCTCTCAGTCTCTCTATACCTGTCTGTGTCTCTCTCTATCTCTCTCTTGTCGTAGAGTCGCCTCAAGTAACGCGCCTTCGGGGGGAGGACAGGTGGTGGCGGGTAGACTAAAAAGAGAGCATTTTTCCCGCTGAGAGGGGGGGGCAAGATCGTCTATCCGTGGTCTTCCCGCGCCTCCACCGGAGGGGGAGTGGAGGGGAAGCGATAGCGGGCCGCTGGGGCTTATCAGGCGTGCTTCCCCATAGTGGCGGCGTCCACAACCACCGCCCCTCCGGGAACAGAAAGAGAGGGAGAGAGAAAAGAGGAGAGAGAGAGAGGGTGGCGATGTCTTCTTCCGATGGAGGCCATCTTGGGTCTGTCGTCCTCTTCCTCCGTCTGTTCCTCGTCCTCGTCGTCGCTCCCGCCTTCTGCTCCGCCGCTTTTCGTGGGTTCCAAACCGCTCCTGTTGAAGGTACAGGCCTAGGGTTATGCCCTGACGTCTTCTTCCTCGATGGGTATCTTCCTCAATGGATGTTAAGGAAATGGGCTTTGTTGGTCCTGCGAGGAACCATCCTTCCTCGATGCATTCCTATGGCGTTCCTCCATGGCTGGTCCAACAGGAAGGATAACCTCTCTCTCTCTCTCTCTCTCTCTCTCTCTCTCTCTCTCTCTCTGTATCTGTGTGTGCGCCGCTCAGGACGAGGAACTCATCTGGAATGGCTCCCAGTGAGGAGGTCAGTAGCGGAGGTTGCAGCAGCGCTTGCGCCGGTCTCGCCGCCGTTGTCCAACTCCTCCTTCGTGCTGGCGGAGGAGAGGACGCGGAGAAAGGACCCGCTGGACGGCTACGACTACTACACCGGTGGATGGAACATCAGCAATCACCATTATTGGGCTGTAAGCTTCCTTAACCTCCGTCCAATCTCATTACCTTTCCTTCTTCCATTCCCAAGGAGAAACGGAACGACGGGGATGGATCAAGAGAGGAGGAGGAGGAATCCCGTATTCGTTCTCCGATTTGACGCACCGACTGGTTCTTCTGGCTGCAGTCCGTTGGATTAACCGCTGTCCCCCTGTTCCTGATCGGAGGCATCTGGTTCGTGGGCTTCGGGCTGTCTCTACTCCTCATCTGCTGCTTCTACTGCTGCTGCTCCCGGAGGAGCTATTCTTATTCGCGGATAGCTTACGCGTTATCTCTGATCTTGCTCATCCTGTTCACCTGTGCTGCGATGTAATGGCGTTGACCCTATCTTTACAATTTTAGGCACTCTGGCCCGATCAGCCGGAGCGAGGACGACGAGAGATCTCAGATTCCTGCTATCTGTTTGTGATGTCATTTTCAGCGCCGGATGCATCATCCTGTACACGGGTCAGGGGAAGCTTCACGTCACCACCTCGAACACCTTGGATTACGTCGTTGATCAGGCACGTCACCACCTCGAACACCTTGGATTACGTCGTTGATCAGGCGGATTTCACCGTGGAGAACCTCAAGAACTTCTCGGAGAATTTATCTGCCGCCAAGAGGGTGAGTGTGGGCCAGAGTTTCCTTCCGGCAGATGTCCAGAGGAAGATCGACACCATCGAAGCGAAGCTCAACTCCTCGTCCAATGAACTGGCCAGTCGCACCAAAGACAACTCCGAGAAGATTAGGGACGTTTTGGACACCGTGTAAGATTCGATGAAGAAACCTCCACCATTTGGAAAGCTCGCTGATTGAACTGGTTGAACCGTTGACCCTGCTTGCAGGAGACTTTGCCTGATTGTCATCGCCGCCGTGATGCTCGCGTTGACATTTCTCGGATTCCGTAAGCGATTCCCTCCCCCCCCCTCCATTATCTGCCCAATAGGGTTCGTTTCTTGCTCCTTTATATGGAATTGAGCGCTGACCCTTGTTCTTTCTGGCAGTGCTCTCCATTCTTGGACTGCAGTGTCCTGTTTACACGTGAGTTGACTTATTCCGCCGTTTTTTCCCAAGATGTCTTGTGTTTCTTCAACTCTGTGCCTCGTGGTGATTTGATGATCAAACTGAGATTCATGCAGCCTGGTGATTATCGGATGGATACTTGTTGCGGGTACCTTCATTCTCTCCGGCGTCTTTCTTCTTTTCCACAAGTAAGCCCTTTGACTTCACATCTCTGACCGGTTTCTTGAGTCGGGTCAACGCAAATTGGAGCTAGATGTTGCCAATTTCGCCCCTTTGCTGCTCTAATTCCAAGAACTGCTCGCTTCCATGCATCCATGGATGTGGGTTTTTTGAAGAACAGGGAAATACAGCTCTTTCACTGAGCGGATCATATTTAGAAAACAGAGCCTGCTTCTACGTTATTATTTTCTCCTTCTCTAGTGAAATCACTCCATTGCGTCTCAGTCTCCCTGTGAGGATCTGCTTCAGGTCTTTCCTACCCATTTTTGGAAATTCTCATTGTAGAGATCTTTACTCGGCCCTCCATGCTGAAATATGTGAGAATGTCCTCCCTAACTTTGGTCAACTACCTGCATGAACTTTGGGTAATTAGATATAATTCGGCTGATATTCCCCTTATCTCCAGACCTAATTACCCATTAAAGACTAATAACATATGGGAATCATTGTATGTGGTGAATTCTCGACCAAGTGGCTTTGACTTCATGAAGGGCATGCTGACTCCTCAATGGTGTGCCTCCTGCAGCGTCATTGGAGACACCTGCGTGGCGATGGACGACTGGGTGCAGCACCCCCACGCGCGCACCGCCCTGGATGACATCCTCCCCTGTGTGGACGCTGCCACCGCCAACGAGTCACTCTACCAGAGCAAAGAGGTCACCTTGCAGCTGGCCAACGTGGTCAACCAATACATCGCCAACATATCCAACAGGAACTTCCCGCCCGGGATCCCGCTGTACTACAATCAGTCGGGCCCAGTGGTGCCGCTACTCTGCAACCCCTTCAATCCTGACTTGAGCGAGCGGCAATGCCTCAGCGGGGAGGTTGGCTTCGGCAATGCCTCCCAGGTGCGTGCTTGCTTGGTCTCCGCTCAAATTGAGATCGCAATTGGCAGGGAATTGACGGTGCCACCTTGTAGGTGTGGCGGCGCTATGTCTGCGAGGTGTCGGCAAGGTCGGGTGGCGAGGTGTGCACCACAACCGGGCGGCTCACCCAGCGGGTCTACAGCCAGATTGTGGCGGCCACCAGCGTCAGCGCCGGTTGCTACCAATACGGGCCCTTCCTGGCCGATCTGCAGGGCTGCACTTTTGTGCGGAACACATTCTCGATGATCACCCATGACAATTGCCCAGGCCTCCGGCGGGACAGCAACTGGGTCTACGTCGGGCTGGCGGTGGTGTCCGGTGCTGTGATGCTCTCTCTGCTCTTCTGGGTCATCTACACCTGGGAGAGGCGGCACCGGAAGAACAGCAAGAAGCAATTCATCACCGGGTCGTGATTGGGTGTTCGGAGGGTTTGGCTTGGGCTTCTTGTTGAGGAGTCTCTGTTTGTGTGGTTGTACATTGTAGATGAGTTCTTCTCGTGTTGTTGCTTGCTGTTAACTGGGTTTACTGCCCCGCTGCCGCGGTGGCAGCGAATTAGGAGACCTGGTGGTGGCGCTGCTTCGGCGAACGGTGCCGGCGGTTGCAGCAGCTGCTTCCCCAATCTATTGATGGTTGTTCTTCAGACTCGGTGATTCAGATGGCTGTCCCTGGCATCTCAAGAGCTGCTGGTCCCTGGCGGCGTGGGGGAGCCCATCAGGGTCAACATCTCTCTGGACGTGGCTCGTTGACCAGCTCTGGAATTGACTGTGGTGTTCACGGAGTTTGGGCCCACCGTGGGGCCTCGACACATTTTATTCGACAGGAAATACGGCATAGAAGTTATGGCACTCATCTTCTTCTTCTTCTTCTCTCTCTCTCTCTCTCTCTCTCTCTCTCTCTCTCTCTCTCTCTATGGCTAGCAGCCGTCTTCTTTTTTGGGGTGAGGAGGCTAGTCTTCTGGGAGAAAGTCAATAGTCTTTGATGTGATTGACTTGAGGATCAGGGTTCTTACAGCAGTCAACCCTCGGTGATGTCATCTCCCTCTTCCTCGGAAGGTCTGCCCGCAGTGAAGAACTCTTCATGAGGGTACAAGCTGTGAAACAGCTGTGGAACATGGCCAACACTCGGCAATAAACATTGAATTCCATTCATCAAAATGTTAAGAAAAAAACCATTTAATACATGCATAAAAGATTTCATGCATCTGACGGAAGGGGGGGGGTTTACCTTCTCCGTTGACTTCAGAAGGCTTCCGTAGTCAAGATTGCCGTCAGGCATGGGTGAAGAGCTCAGAGAACAGCCCTCTGCCACCTACGGTACACAATAATTTATCAATATTTGAAGGTTTTTTTATGGAGATTTTTTTTTTAAATAAAGAAAATGTTGACCTCGGTGAGCTCTTGAACATATGACGCAGACCACAATAAAACTGGCTTTGACTTGCTGGTGCTTTCATTAATATACAAATCTCCACTGTGTTCATCCTGCTCGTTCTTCCCACCTGGGAGCTCGAAGAGGGCATTCATGGCGGCAAGCAGGTGTTCTTTTCCTCGAATAGCATCGTCACACTTGGTTGAACAGTACACAACGAAGCTGAGGGAAGATTCAGAGAAAAAAAAAGTCCAAAACTATTAGTTGACCAAGTTGGTTCTAACAATCTTCCATTTCATTCCCATTTCTGGAAACTTACAAGTCCGGCGGACAAACTGCCAGGCCGCTTCCCAGTTGAAGGGCCCGGATCGATGTTTCCTGGGCAGGAAACAGAGCTGCAAGGACGGATCTAGTCAGAGAGGGTGCATACGATTGACGGCCCAGATTCACATTGCATCATTGCTGCAATTATTTTGATTCCAAAAATAATATTTATATAAAGGAACAACAAGAAACTTACATCTGGGGGGCAAAATTATCAGGATATTTGATAGTTGGGGGTGTAGAGAACTCCTCGTTATACAGACCAGCCTGGCAACCTTGGAAGCATGGCTAGCTTCAATGGTGCTCTCTAGAGGATCTGGCGAAGGGAAAGGAGGAGGAACCACGGAAGATGAATCCATGAGGATCCGATGGCAGTTTATATCCTGCCCAGTTGCCAATCGAACCCCTTTATATGCTTTGTCTTCCTGAGAAGATAGAGAATGATTTCTTAAGAGCTTCACAAGGCAGATACGAGTCTCTTTTATTTCAAGAAAAAATAGCATTTTAAAATAAAATACAGTGGGAAATAAGAAAAGAAACTAATAGGCGGAGTATGCATTCAGATTTGACCACAAAAGTATACATGGAGATAAAACTCAATATATATTTTTAATTCATCGTCTATAAAAAGCATATGCTAATTGATGAGAGAATTGTCGTTGATATTTCAGTAAGATAAAAAATGTTACATCTTTGCTTGAATATGAGCACATATGTTCAAGTCAGGTTATATACGTATATATATATATACCCCAAAATGGGATTAGATAACGCTCGAGATTGCAGGAAAAGTTGACAGTTGATAAATTTCTAGGAAAAATTCTCATTATGGGCCTGTAAGTCTCCGTCAGATCAGTAAATTTCTTCATGTTCATCAAACGTTTGTGTTGAAAACAGCAAAAACAAGGGATAAAACCCATGAAACAGACAATCTAAATGTGAGAAATATGCACCGAATCATGGAGGAAAATCTGGTTCAATGCATCAACAGGTGAATAAAAAAGTATTGGCGTATTATTGGTTAGTTTAAGATGATATCCTTAAAGATCCGTTCTAACTCAAACCTTGGTTTCCGTTACACCCCTCAACAAACCACATTTAATAGCGAGGAGTGAAATACAGTAGATTGAATCAAAAGTCGCGAAAGAGAGATCAACGGATCAGGTGATGCATTAATAAAATGAAAGCAACACATAACTAATATACCTTGTCAAAAAGCAAACTGGAAGCTGGCATCCGTAGGACCTGCGATAATGTATTTGGACTCAGATACGAAAATTTCTATCATAATAATAATAATAATAATAATAATAAATTCCACTATTGCCTATTCGGGAGAAAGTAAGTAGGCTCCTAGATTTTGCACACTGTGGCGCCGTACAAGTTCTAATACCTAATCTCCTAAACACTTCTGACGTCGGATTTTTATCACTATACGTTAGATTAGATGATGCTCCCAAGAAATATAGTACCGAAGTCCAAAAACTCACATACAAAGCACCTTTAACAGCAGCAAGACGGCAAAAGGCCTGCGGCAACTCTCCTTGGCCATATATTGGATAAATTAATGCACCCACTGCATTAGGAAACCTAAAATTATATTACCAAGTAAGTAAATAAGAGGTGAAAATGTGTTCACAAAGTTTAAAGCAAACAGGTAGTGAGGGTGCATATGGTTACTTGTATGAGCAAGTATTGCCGTTTATGCACTGAGATATCACAGTAGAAATCAAAGGAGTTTCAATCACATCTATGAACTGGGAAATATGCACTCAACTGCTTCCAGTGGGCTTCGAAGATAAAAAAATAAAATTAATACCAGAAATATATGCATCAAGATATGATGACACCAAGTAGGAAGAAAATAACATAATCTTCTGAAACCACACATGATGTTATTCAGGACCGTCAAAAAAATTCTTCAATATGATACATGGTGTTGGATGCTCCTTCAATATTAAATCTACATGATACTAGTCTATAGGCCTGACGACAAGTATCAGTTAAGTGAGCTTGAGCTTGCACCTATGACAGATTTTCCAATGTAAGTCAGATTTCTGTTCAGAGGACAGGGCTATGAGTGGCATAGCTGCCTTTGGGGCAATGAAATGATTTTGAAGGATTTGATCTCAATGCATTAATCTAAAAAATGACAGTGTGGGCTGCTATGTTGGGGAAGCTTGGAAGGATGACGTATAAAACTAGCTGAATCGTCATCAAACATCAAATATTTTCACGATTTCTTCAGGACCCAGTGATGTTCTGTCTTTATGGCTAAGACATTGAGATAAGCTTGATATCGTTACAATGACAAAGGAAAAATAAATAAATGACCAGGTTATTTTTAATTGCGACTATAATGAGAGTTATTCTCCCTGGCCCTTTTTGTCAAGAGTATGAATGATAGTTCAGATGATCGAATAAAATTAAATAAAAGACTTCAGTTGACCTTCCAATGGATGAACTGTAAAGAGATAAGCTTTCTAGTCCCTCTTTTGTGTCCATCAGTTTGTTGCAGCTTTCTGGGTTATCCTGATCATAATCTGCCATGGCAATTGCATATAGAACAATCCTAAAAAAGAAAAATAATCAACAGTTACGTTTCACAAATAGGGAAATTAAGCCCCCCGCCCCCAAACTTTGAATTGACAGTAAGGAGAAAGATGAAAACCTTACTCTTTAAATATATAAAAGACAGAAATACATGTCATTTCATCCACATTAAGCTTGAGATCCTAATTGAAATCATGATTAGGCGAAACAGAATCCATAGCGTGGCCTTAAGCAAGGATCACATGACCGTGATGGTCTTGACAGAATTCACCAAAGGCTGCAGCAGACATTTTCTAATTCAACAAAGTGGCAACGCCGATCGAATAATCCTCAGCTGGAGCCATTTGAAAATTTGGATTGAGCACAATAAACTCCTGCAAAGTGCTAAAATTTAAGAGGAATGACAGATGAATCTTATCCCTTTTAGTCAGGAAGACGTTTTTTCACAGCTTGCGTCGAGTTCTCCATTACATGAAATTTGATCTTAGTTTGAGATTAAATATGATGGACATGATACTTCTTTTCGCTGAGAATAACCACTTGCTAAGTAGTGTGAGTAGTTAAAATCCTACATCGTATCCTGAAAATTCAAATCTTTATCAGTTTTTTGAGATGAAATCCTTAATAGGTCAATCTATAATTTTTTTATGCTCATTCCAATGATTCTCCAAGCTCGGTATGACGATTTAATTTTCAGAATGCAGTAACATCTAGCAAACCCGTCATCAATCTGCACCTGAATATTCTGTACTTCCTAATTTCATCGATAAGGATGAATGAGAGAGGTCAAAACTTAAAAGGTGCAGACATACTCGGGTACGTTGGCAGTCGTTTGGATCAACTACACAATATAGAACTCCTAAATACGAGGCACACAAGCCCAAGAAATAAAGGTGAATATGTCCGTACAGTTTGATCTTCGGTGGCAGCCTCTGCTTCTCCAAGAACTTTACGAATGGCATCTCCAGGTACGGCCCCGATATCTTGCTAGCCTCTTCGCCTTCTCCCCCTTCTGAGGTTATGTGCTCCCGAACTAGCTTCAAAAACCTCGTCATCTGAGTTTTCTCAGTTAGACTGAGGCTTTTATCCTTGAAGATGGCCTCCCTCGAGTCAGGCACCATCTGGAGCTTCCCATCCCAGTAGATCATGCTCCCATCAACGCTCTTGAACTCGATATGGTGACTAGCCCCCGACCGCAGCATCACGTCCACCATCGGATCCGCGCAGTAGAGGACCCTGGGGCCCGACAGGTCGAGGAGGAAGCCTCTAGAAGGCTCGGGGACCTCGCCCGCAATCTCCACGTGAGAGTACAGCCGGCGGGGCTGAAGATCCACGGCAACGCCGACAGACGACTTCGGCGCCGGCTGGCGCGGGCCGTCATCGTCGTCGGCGGCGGCGGGAGCATTCTGCTGGAGGAAGGAGGAGAGGGACTGCGGCGAGAGAGAGGAGTAGTGGACCCCGTAGTAGGGGTTGGAGTCAAGGTGGAGGACAGACTTGCCGGAGGCCGACGCGGCGGCGGCCACTAGGGATTCGACGAGGCCAGTCCCCGAGACGACGAGGTCGAAGGAGGACGGATCGATGACGGGATGCTCGCCGGCGGTCGCCTCCGCCATGGCGGCGATCTCGCCTGGCCGTCTCCGCAGTCCCGCCTGATGACACCGGCGGCGCCGCCAAAACTCTTTTATTCATAGGCCCCGGCCGCCCCCCCCCCCCCCAACAATTTTGGGCTAATATTTTTATGGGCCCATAAGGCCCATAATGTAAGATGGACCAGCTCATTATGCCACATGGTTAGACCATCTCCCTCTCTGTCGTTCTCTCTCTCTCTCTCTCTCTCCCGCCTCCACTCGATCTGCCCCCCCCCTCGTTCTGTCTTCTTCCTGTATAAATCAGTCGGAAGCCGAAACGGTACGATTGATTATGCACAACAGTCAAGATCGGATCGCGGAATTTGGAAGAGACCACAATAAACGGACAAGAATCACCGGAGATGTAAGATACGAGACCATTTTCGGAGCAGCGCCCGGCGGAGGTATGGGGCCGGAGGATGGGTGGGTTCCGCTGCTGCCGGAGAAGGACGATGGAGCTGCGGTGATCACGCCGGCGGGCGGGGGCGGGTGGACGGCGGCGCCGCTGCGCTCGTTCTGCGAAGACGTGTGGCGAGAGGCCTATCTGATCTGGTACATCGCCGGGCCGGCCATCCTCACCTCCATCTTCCAATACTCCATGTCCTCCGTCACCCAGACCCTCGTTGGCCACCTCGGCACCCTCGAACTCGCCGCGGTCGGCATCCAAAACCTCGTCATCTCCGGCATCGGCTTCGGCGTCATGGTAACTTTCTACCCCCCTCTCTCTCTCTCCTGTAATTCCATCTCTCTCTCTTTCTCTCTCTAGCTGGGGATGGGTAGCGCGCTGGAGACGCTGTGCGGGCAGGCCTTCGGGGCGGGGGAGCACAGAATGATGGGGATCTACATGCAGAGATCGTGGGTGATACTCCTCTCCACCGCCGCCGTCCTCACCGTCCCCTACCTCTTCGCATCGCCCATCCTCAGGCTCTTGGGGCAGAGCGCGGAGATTGCAGAGCTCGCGGGGAAGTTCTCGCTGTGGATGATCCCAGAGCTGTTCGCCTTCGCCATTAACTTCCCGATCATGAAGTTCCTGCAGGCCCAGAGCAGGGTGATGGTCATGATGTGGATCTCCGCGGCCGTTCTGGCCCTGCACCTGCTACTGAGCTGGCTGTTCATCGTCAAGCTCGGGACGGGCCTGGTGGGCGCTGCTATCACCCTGAACTTCACCTGGTGGCTCTTGGTCGCCGGGCAGCTCTCCTATGTTGTCTCCGGCTGCTGCAAGGACTCCTGGACTGGTTTCTCCTGGCTCGCCTTCGCTGATCTGACCAACTTCTTGGGCCTCTCTCTTGCTTCTGCTGTCATGCTATGGTCCTCTCTCTCTCTCTCTGTTTCTTTCTTTCTGTCTCTAGATTAATGGATTGTGCCTGATAATTCATCTGGATGCAGCCTGGAGTATTGGATCTACATGGTTGTGATCATCTTAGCGGGGCTCTTGAAAAATCCAGAAATAGCTGTGGATGCCGCTTCGATCTGGTGAGCTTGTGGATGGGAGATTATTATCTTGACCAGGATGATCGCCTGTGAATCATGTAGATTTCATTCTCTGAACTGGATGCATCACTGCTGCTCCTGGATCTCTTCGGGTTGACCCAAATTTTCCAGCTCAAAGAGAAATTTTCCACTTTATGATTTCTTTTCTAAGTAAGAAAATTACAGTCAACTCGGTCACTGAAATCTAAATCAAAGTCCGAACGTACAGTAGAAATCTATGAAACTATCTATGCATCTGTTCTTGCGCTCTTCCCTGTTTTGGAAAATTTCGGAATTATGTCTACGGGATTCAATTATTCCATTCCATCACATGTATTTGGAGATAAATGTAGAAAAACCGAAGAAGTTCGTTGACTTGTTCTTCATCTGCTTGTTCACCATTTTTGGGTATTTTCTTGGAGATAATCTCAGCATGCATTAATTTTCTACGTCAAAAATCTTAGAACTCGGATGAAAATATTTCAGGGAAATCCCACATTTAATCAAATAGTTAAATCACAAGCTTAATTGTGGAAAATCTTTGGTCTTATTCCTTTCATTGCCCAGCTAAGTTTGAACTGAGCAGCCCTGTTCTTTCACAAAAAAGCTTGTTCTTGCTCCACGCATACATTCTTACTCTCTCTCTCTCTCTCCCCTATTTTGAGCCGTGCAGTATGAATGTGGAAGGATGGATTTTCATGATTCCCTTCGGACTTATTGCAGCAATAAGGTGAGTATTTATTATAGTCCCCTAAGAAAATTCAAATACCTGATGAGATTTCCATAAGAAATTACCATTTTTTTTTTCATGCAAAAATTTCTTGAGCTGCTCTCTATTTTTGGTGATGATTTTGCCAGTGTGAGGGTCTCCAATGAGCTGGGAGCAGGTCGCCCCAAGGCCGCCAGATTCTCAGTGCTGGTGGTGATCATGATATCAGTGGTTCTCCAGTCAACCTTTGCCCTCCTAATATTCCTCACCAGGAAGGACTTCCCCATCATCTTCACAGGGGACAAGCTGGTGAGGGAGGAGGTCACGAGGCTGGCGCCTTTTCTTTGTTCAACTGTTCTCCTTGCCAGTGTACAGCCAGTGCTCTCAGGTCCGTTCACTACTAAGAGGGCCTTGATCTAGGTTAACTAGGGGAATATTCATTTCTCTACCTAGTTTAAGCACAAACATGTGAAAAATATGTATGCATAAATAATAATAGGATCATGGTATGGCTTTGAACCTTGCTTGAGTCTGAGATGATGGAGTTGTGTGGGTTCCCAGGCGTTGCTGTTGGCGCTGGCTGGCAGACAACAGTCGCCTACATAAACCTTGGATGCTATTATCTCCTGGGGATAGCTCCTGGTGCCCTACTAGGGTTCAAGTTTGGTCTAGGGCTGGAGGTAAGAGCAGGAATCATCCCAGCATTCAATCTGTTCATACCCAGAAGACTCAATCTATGCACATTTTTCAGAATTTTGACCTACTCTTCAATAGAATTTCTGCATGTTGCGTCTCATATTTTTCAAATCATGTTCCTCTCATCTATTTCATCATGATTTTTTTTATAAAAATAATTTTTTTTTTTTTCTTGAGTAGGGTCTTTGGGGTGGTGTGATCATTGGGGTTGTTGTGCAAACCATCATTCTTTCAGTAATCACCTTGCGGACCGACTGGGACAAAGAGGTGGGGACTCTCTTTTTTCCCAACTCTCCCCTTCCAGATGCTAGATTTTCATCCTCATAATCAGATGCCTGATCTTTCAGGTTTTATCAGCAAAGGAGAGGATAGCTGTGTGGGGAGGTTCTGCTGGTGTCCATTCAGACGGAATCAGTTGAATATGAAGAAGCTTTTTCCTTTTTTCCAATAAATTTTGGTAATATGGGTTTTTCGTGATGGTCAATTGGTTCAGGTTTACTCTAAGAAAGTTCTTTCAGAGTTTACAATAATTGGGGTTCTGAGCTTCTGTGTTTCTTTCCCCAATTGTGAACAGCTGCTACGAGGTTATTCTCGGGAGCTTATGACGATCGTAGTTCACCGATCTTTGAATTCTCTGGAAACCATTTGAGAAGGGCCAAATGTCAGGTATGGGTCTTGTTCTAGAATTTTCCTATGTAATTCCCCTCAGAATTCTTACTGTGGTGGTGCAGAGGATGAAAGATGGCTGGAAACGCTGTGGGATGCATGGGTGATTTTGATTTTCACTTTCTTTCCATTATCCACTTATAACTTGGGCTGATTAAAAGTTCTGTAGGCTTTGAATCATTTTTTTTGTGTACAATAAAAATCAATAAAAAACGAGTATTTTATCATAACCATGAGAGGAATTTGCATGCTCTCGAGTTCAGTTTTCAGCATTCCAAGATGATGAAATGAATGGCCTTTCAATCAAGTACAGGACTATATCTCAGATAAAATAGGAATGAGGGAACATTGAGAGAACCTGCTTGAAGAACATACGCACAGGAAACCAGCGACCTCTCCTTGAAGCACTCCATGACTCCTCAGCCACGTTCTTTGAGAACCCTTGGAATGAGACATTGCATTCTCCTGCTTGTGGCGGCAGGGGGTTTGGCAGAGGTGGGCTTTCAAAAACCTAGCCCACCATAGAATCCTTTCCAAGATCGACTCTGAACTAGGTTTGGGCCTCTTCACAGATCTGAACATACTTTCCATGTATGTACAAGAAGTAGGGTTTCCATTGGTCGGAGGCCAACCTGGAGAAGAAACCTTAATCTTTGAGCAGATCTTGGTGTACCATGTACCTGAAACTTGCTCTGTGTGGCAGCCACTGGATACGTTTCTCTGGGTTTCCTCTGACGCATCTCTTGATGGCCTTCTTCTGAGGCTCGGGCATGGAGTTGTGGACTATCTCCATGAGAGAGGGGAGATCCAAGGATGCGCCCTTGGCGTAGTGCCTCAGGATCTGGGGCAGGAGTATCTTGGTTTCCTTGTGGATTGAGACCTTGGCGCGGAGAAACTCGTCCCTTGCGAGCTCAAGCTCTTTGAGTATGTTCTTGGACGAGAAGACCCGGACCTATTTGCGGCCAAGGGGCAGAACAGGTAATGAGATCTCTTTGCCCACTTTTGCGTTAGAGAGAGAGAGAGGAGAGAGAGAGGAGGGAAAGAGGGAGGATTGGAATTCGTACAGCTGGGTCGGAATGAGCTCCCAAGCAAAGGGCGAAATGGACCAATGGCTCCCTCTTACTGAGTGCATAAGGGTGCTTCTCGTGAAGCTTGTGGAACTTCTCAGATCGCATAAACAGGCTCTGTAGCCTCTGAGTATAGAGTTAAAGAATTGCAGCTCAATTTACGGTAAAAAAACTATTTTGACGATGAAAGATTAAAAGATTCGATTATAGTGTGTAACGGCAACGACACCAAAAATGAAAGAATAATTTTTTTATTATTAATTAATTTACCCTAAAAATGAAAGAAGAAAGCCAATATGTATTGTCATTTTATCTTTTTTTCCTCCATAAAGTTCAAAAATATTAACCAGAACTGTGAGATTTATTCAGGGAAAATGATGGCATTTGCAAGCAATTAGTTTTAGAGATATTTAACTACCACAATGTGTTTTTCTGTTTTTTTTTCCTGTAAAAATATGAAAAATCGTTATTTCTACGAGAAATGACAAGAAAGTGCCGTGTGAATTGTTCCTTGTGAATATAGTTTCTAAAATTTTGAATTTGGAAATATTTCCAATAATGAACTCAATCTATGACCTAACATGGACTCAATCTATGGTTGAACATGGGGGGAGGCCCGGCCTGGTCTTATCAGCCTTAGAAATGAAAAGAAGCGCGGAAGTGAGATTTGGCTTCTCCCAAATGATCGCGAAAACGAAGGAATCCAAAAAGAAGCGATGAATATATATCATACCGGTCCAGGGCGATGTGGTTGACATCCAAGAATGGATCTTTGAATTACATAAGCATTTACAGAAGACCCACCAACGTTATACGCTGCCTGAATGAGAAAGATCAATGAGACGTCAGCATATTCTAGTTTAAGCTAAAAATGGAATGCAACGTGTGAATATTGTTGTCAACTGGCCACCTTCATGATTGTACTTGTGCTTCTTATATAGTTTTGGTGAAGCCCATAAGCTAGAAATGCCTATAACATATCACGAGCAGAAAATGGAAAATGTATCATCACGGATATCAAAAAAATGAGGTGGAAGATTGAAAAAATGAGGTGGGGAGAGACATACATGCATCACCAAGGCGTTATGAACATTGATCCAAAATGCAAGTTTCCCCTCATGCTCCATCTTTGTTGGGTTAACCTTCTCCAGGCGATGGATCAAAGACCTGAAACATAATCATTCCCATTTAGAGAATCGACGCCAGATTTCACTTCATTCATAAACCCAACCTGAACAAAACCAAATCTCATGAAGTCTATTCCCACATAAAATCAATAAGTACAGTCCCTCGAGCGAATCCAAGGATATACTAGGGCAGTCACCATGACCATTTTCCAATTATATGATGACCTTAGTCAACGGAAATGATAACAAAGATATACTAGGGCAGACAGAAAAGAAATAGGCATACAAGTCAACGGAATGGAGTTGATACTCACTTGAAACGTTGCAGCATCGCTTCTGCATAGTTAAATTTATCGCCATCTACGCAAAGCTTCAGAACTTCTAGCTGTTCAGTGTATGGACCTTGCTTGTTCTTCAACACTTCTGAGCGACGAGAATCGATGGCAGCTCCATCACGAAACATTAGGTTCCAAGGATCATTTGTATCCCGGAGAGAAAATGCACTTGAGGATGATAACGATGACGTGGGTGAGGCAAACGAGTCTATTTGAGGCGGTGCCTGATCAGAAAGTTTAATGTATATCGAAGACATGCATCTTATTATCTCTTCAGAGAGTTTGCAAGGGGATTCAGAAGCACCATCAATTAGCGAAGAACAAAGATATTCCGCAAGGCAGCGACGACCAGAAGAAAGTGTTGGGGAGTCCTGAAAAATAAACCAAAAAGGATAACAAATAAATTATCAAAACACTCTGGTAACTACTAAAGTGAACCATGCAGTGTTTAAATATCCAACTGTGCATCCCAGCGCCACGAGATCTCCAATAAAATATTTCCATTTCTTATCACATTCCGATAGAGTATGAGTTGACATAAAGTACATGGCTCATTTTCAGATACAAAACTTCAGGGGAAAACTTAAATGACGGCAGATATAGACTCGTATTTCAGATAAAGGATCAGTCAACTATAAAACTACAAAAAACTTAGTTCCCAACGTCGGTACTTAACATTACAGAGTAGATATTAAATAGTTGATTTCAATTCGATGGAGAGTAGAGTGCTAGAAATAAGAGAAATATATATATATATATATATATATATAAAGGTAAAAAATATGGCTGCAGGAACAGAGCTCATTAACAACGAGTTCCCTAGTTTGAATCAGCTGCAACATATTTACTATTCATTCTCTCATGTAAAGTGGGAACAAAAAATGCCTATTTTTGTCTAAGAAGCGAAAAATCAGGTCACAGGTCCTATAGGCTCAGAAACCCGACGATCAACAACATTGAAGGAATATTGTGTTAATTGAAAATAGGGGTTCAGTATGTATCCACTTACAGTTGAATTATTTCCCGCCGCAGGAACACGTATATCTTTCGAATCAGCTAAATTATGACTTGATTTGCAGCATAGGTCTTGAAATTCAATCCCTCTCTTCCTACGGATATCCTCAATGCTCTGTGACTCGTTCCATTTGCTTTTGGCCGAGTTAGGGAGAGAAGATGGCAGATGCAAACTCATTAGTTTAGATTTATCCTCCCCTTGGCTTATGGAAGGCCCTGTCCCACATATTGAGGGGAGCTTACGGACTTGGTCTTTAATCAGAGAGGTGGCTTGGAAATGGTCAAACGTTTCCCGATATAGTGAAAGAAGATATCGTTCTAAATGTAAAACTTCAAGCTCAAGAGTTGCAATCTCTTTGACCAGTTCTGTAGCAGGCTGCAGAAAGCATAGAAAACATATTTCAATATTTCAAATTCCAAAGATCTAAGGCGCATAAGCAATCTCTTCAAGCATAGAATGCATAAACTAAAATCATATGGCGAATCATAATATATTCATCATAAATACTAAAATTATATACCAAAAATATCCAGAAAGATGATTCATAGGACCCTCAATTGACCATGCCATTTATGAAAACTATAAAATATATTTTTTTGGTTTTATCGCTGTTTGAAGGAGAGATTTTAAAAGCACATGGACAATGAACTGCATGAGTTGACATATGAATCAGCTCATGGTTCGATCAAACGGTTTACAGGGGAGAAAATATCATAAGGAGAGAAAAAAAAATAGACACTATAATTTTCCAAACTATATACTTAAAGATTGCTCTTCAAGAATATTTTTACGAAAGTCGAGAAGTAATATAAAATGCCACTTTTAGGGAAAATCTCTCTCATGCAGATCCAATTTTCTGTTTTTTAATATCATTGGAAATTATTAAGGAAATGAAGACATGTAGTTTCAACTATCACTTTGCCATCTTAGCTTTCGATGCACAAAAATATAAAACGCACTGGAACGGCCTTTGGATTTGAAGTTTCTTCTAATGCAGTGGTATTGGAGCCAGCCTACATGGATTATCCAAATGAATCGAAGGTGCGGCCATACAATTTTTTTCTTCAAAATAAGTGTTTTGAGATAAGAAAAAATAATAAAATAATTAAATGTGAAGGAAGAACACAGCTCAAGCACCGGACAAGGCATAGAATATTTCAATTCCATGGACTATTAGACAGATGCTGTAATGTTCCTATACCGTGATTTTGATTATCCAGCGGAGATTTCACATATTTTCTAGCACCCCATATAAAAATCTGTTATTTTTGTGTATAATAGAAGAAAGTATGAAGCTTACACAGAAAGAGAGCTGGGAGGACCGTGGAGACAACTTTATCCTCTCTTCGTGTGGTCTACAGTCACTGAAATGGAAAATAATCACAACATAACCACCACATAAAGTTGCAGTAATCTATAACTCGAATAAGAGCTGTAAAAATTGGGGTCCAGTTTTTAAAATTGGGATATAATGACTTATCTTCTCGACTGGGTTGTTCCTTGAATTGTCTACCCTTAAGTCGACTACACTAGGAAACATTTTATTTTTTTTCCGTCCCTCTTTTACTACCTCTTCTTTATTTCCTTTTTTCTTTTATTGTTTTCTCATCACATCGTAGATGTAGCTGTTCCATTCACATTCAAATCGAGGGTGATAGGAGCCCCGGAAATTATTATAAAAAATAGGCCTTCCCATCCTCCGAAAACTGACATATGCAGGACTCTCAACATGAAATAGGAAGATGGCAACTAGAGTTTAATTCTAATAAACTTCACGCATGAAGAGAATCACCTCATGAAGTTCGCGTGGAGAGAGGCCGAAGACGAATGCGAAGGGCCGCTGATTCCAAGCATGATTTCAACATTCTCGCCGATCTTGTCCAGATGATTAGCCGCCATAGCGATCTTCGCAGAAAGCTGAGAACCAAGAGTTAGCGGAAAACAGAAAAAAGATGGTGAGCCAAGCAGAAACTGACGAGATAAAAATCCTCCAAGAACAGAAAAGAGTATGGCACGAGCGCCATAACGGACACTATGAACCGGAAGAGCACCACCAGAACATGAAACGCCCGCACATTCCAGGAGGGAGAAGTGTACGGCAAGGGAGAGAAGTCCTCACCTTACTGAATTGAAACCCCACGCATTCCCAACCGTTTCGAGTGAATCCTCGAGAAAGGCCTCTTCGCCTTTCCCGAGCCTTCAGAGAGGAAAGCGCTTCACCTAGGGAATTATCCGGGAACGAATGGGGATAAACATGGACAGGTTGAGAGCATCTTACGGGAAATAGCCAGTCTGGCGGTACATGGATGGATATATAGATCCACGCCGCTCACAGGGAAGCCTATGAAAGCAGAAGTAGGCCCACCATGGAAGGGAGGGGGTGGCGGGATTAACTATTCGCCATAGCAGCTCTGCTGAGGGAAGCAGAGTGACCAACCCCAACAGGAGAGAAAAAAAAATACGAATCGACATTGTAAGCGCCAAATTAGGTGGAAGTGTAGCAGTGGTTCGCGACAAGGACATGGTCAGGAAAGAGAGAAAGTTATATATTCAGTGCTTCCTCTGATTACGAAGAGGAACAGTTGGTCAATTCAACCCATGAAAGAATTCTTCCTCAGACCATGAGAGAGCGAGTCGGAAGTACTAATACATCTCCGAAAATTCCACCGTACGAGGGAGTAACGAAGTCGGAGGAGACTTCATTCCATGGAATCTTACGAGGCGTGGACACGTCGAATAGTTCCTTGAGATCTCTTCCACACAGACGCGGACGCGGAATGGGACAGAAGAATAAAGAAAAGAGGTAGAATGCTCACCGGCCGAATTAAATGAGAATTTATCAACACCCGGCGTACAGTGGATCAAATCCAGTAACCAACGCCATGACAGCGATCTATGCTCTGACACACCTTCTCTCTGCCGGGAACGAAAGGAAATCTGTTGACATTCTGTTCATGGCATGCACATGCCGGCCAGAAGCCGCGGCAGCGCCAACAGAGAACTGATAAGGCGCCCGGCGGTGGATTTCGTAGATCAGATGACTCCGGCGATCTGCTAATGAGGATCGGCGAACGCCAGTCCACTCTGCCATCCCCTAGAACTACAAGAGCCGCCTTCCGCCGCTCGTTGGAAGCTCACCAGCTCATGCTAGGACGTTCGTTGACGGACTCCTTTCCGATGAGCAGAGAGATCGGGGGGGTTGTCGCCAGCGGGTCTCACCGGAGCTCTGCCTGGCGGGGTTACGACGGAGGAAGCGGGAGGAAGCTTCTCTAGAATCCCCGGGATTCCCGCCCAACGACTTCCACGTGGCGGACCCATCGAGTATTCTTTCTTTATCACGTGGCCCACTCATCCCGCGGGATTCTTACGCATCCGCACACGATTTCAAACCGATATCAATCTGAAACCCGATTTCGGGTCTCCCCAGAACTGAAATAATCTTACCGGATATTGGGGTCTGTCTGTCTCTCTGTCTCTCTGTCTCCCTCATGGCCCACAGTCGCCGTATAGGGACGAGGAGTCCCGGCGGGGGTTGTGTTGGGTCACCACACCAACGTATCCCACGTTCACCGGGAAAAAAACGAGAGAGCGAGAGAGAGCGAGAGAGAGCGAGAGAGAGCGAGAGAGAGCGAGAGAGAGAGAGAGAACATGGGAGCCTTCCCTAAGTGGAGGACGGCGTTGACCGCATCGTGGTTCCCCGGGAAGAAATGAGAGAGAGAGAACGTGGGAGCCTTCCCTCAGTGGAGGACGGCGTTGACTGCCTCATGGTTCCCCGGGAAGAAACGAGAGAGAGAGAGAGAGAGAGAGAGAACATGGGAGCCTTCCCTAAGTGGAGGACGGCGTTGACCGCCTCGTGGTTCCCCGGGAAGAAACGAGAGAGAGAGAACATGGGAGCCTTCCCTAAGTGGAGGACGGCGTTGACCGCATCGTGGTTCCCCGGGAAGAAATGAGAGAGAGAGAACGTGGGAGCCTTCCCTCAGTGGAGGACGGCGTTGACTGCCTCATGGTTCCCCGGGAAGAAACGAGAGAGAGAGAGAGAGAGAGAGAACATGGGAGCCTTCCCTAAGTGGAGGACGGCGTTGACTGCCTCATGGTCCTAGGGAAGAAACGAGAGAGAGAGAGAGAGAGAGAGAGAGAGAGAGAGAGAGCAATAGAGCCTCCCCTAAGCGGAGGAAGCCGTTGACCCCCTCCACCCTTCCAGCCGTTGACGACGACGCAGGAGGAGTAGTTGATTGCCTTCTCGGTCCTCTCCGCCCGCCAATGTGGGCGCCGGTGGGCGGAACCACAGAAAAAGAGAGAGAGAGAGAGACAGGCATACAGAGAGAGGGAATCTAGAAGCGTATACGGTTACCGTGTCCCGACAGAGGTAGGGTTACTGCGGCGACTGATTGGCTACCACCGGAACAACAGGTATTCTAGTTCGGCGGCGGCTGCTTCTGACATTCTCTCTGTCTAGAAGCCCACGGTGCTGCCTTGTCGGCCAAGAAAGCGAGGTCATCCATATAACGGATACCGTACTCGGTATTCGGTATCCTTAACTGTCGCCGACAGTCGACCAAGCAGGCTTATTGGACCGTGGCTCGGCTCCGGTTGTCACGTGGCATCCTTTCGGCCCTCCACCCAGCCTGCGACTGTCAAACCGGGTTCGCCCTGACCCAACGGTTGGCCTTCAGGCCCGGCCCGGACCATCGGGCATGGACGAAATGGACTTAAATATAAGAAATATTAAATCTTCAACAAAAAATTGTGGCCTCGCTTTCGCAAAAAATGTGTGATTTACAGAAAAGGGGAGAGAATAGGTTATAATGTTTAATTTCTAGGGCTTTTTCATAATTTCTATCTGTCTTTCTACTCTGAGACGAACTCCGGGATGGTGCCGAGACGCACCCGGGAAGACCTTTGCCGGCGGTAAGAGGAATTCTTCCCCTTCAAGGATCCACTCCTCTTCATCTTCCGCTGGATGGCGATCGGCGGCGGCCGCCGGCCATTCTTTCCGGCGAATCCGTTTATCTCCTCCTCTTCATTCTCCTCCCCCCAGCCGCCCTCCGGCGGCGCCACCACTCTGATCTTCCGCCTGCGGCCGTCAGCCTCCGCCGCCGCCGCCAGCGCGGATATGGCCTTGACGGCGAGTGCCGCCATGTCGCCCTGCGACAGCGCCTCCCTGCGCTTCTCGAGGGGGAGGACGAAGTAGATCTGCCCCAGCTGGAGGGGCTCCTCCGGGTCGACTGCCGGGATGTTGTCGTTGCAGTACAGCTTGTCGGAGCTGCAGAGGAAGCAGGCGGCGGCGCCGTCCTTTGCGAGGGCCTCGGCGGCGCTGATAGGCGAGGAGTACTCCCTCAGATCGCCGCTCAGGCCGATCACCTTCGCCGTCGGCGCCACGTTGACGACTCTGCTCCCCTCCCCGGCGGACATGCAAGATCCCATATCACGTGAGATTCTAGAGAGAGAGAAGAGAGAGAAGAATAGAAGAGAGAGATATGGTGAAGTGGGAGGAGAAGGGAGAGGAGGGTATATAAGGGAGCGCGAGGGTGCCACGCGGATAGCCGTCAGCAACGAATGCGATACAAGCTGTGGAGGAGGAGGTGAGTCAGAGCTGACGACTCGGAAATCCACCAGCGAGGCACGTGGTTTCGGTCTGAACTCGGCCCGGAGGATTCTGGTAGGAAAGGGGTCTCACCCCGGCAGGAAAACGACAGGCGTTCCTTCTGTCAACGCCGTAACAATTGCCGTTGGAACCAACCAATGCGGTATTGACTGGGTTCCTTCCTCTCACAAAAAAACCCAAAAATAGAAAAAAAATTGATTATTTTATAACTTATTTTTTGGGATTTTTACCTTCTTTGGCTGTGGGTTCTCTGCATCGGTTGAAGGCTAACGGAATCAGACGCGGAAATAGGCAGCTAAAAAATGTCCGGGACTTTGACTTCTGCCCCAAGTTTCCGGGGGCTGATGAACGCCGTTGATTGCCTCACACGGCAAGAAACCCAGTGAACGCGTCAGATCCGACGTGGCGTGGAGAAGATAATCCACTACGCAGAGTCAGCGCCAGATCTGAACCCCAACACCGCGTGGTGGGTTTTTGTTCGAGACTCTGTTGGTGCGCCAACAGACAGGGCCTGGGAGGAAAACGGGCTCGGCCCGACAATGTCCCGGAAGCCCAGAATCTGCCAGATTGTACTTCAATCCAACGGTCAGCTCGCCATGGCACCGGTTAAGCAGGTCTAGGCCCCTCAAAATTGCCTGAATTAAGGATAAACCCTTGATTCTCCACTTATTGTTATTGGACCTTGAAGGAATCCATCCATTCGGGTTGACCGGTGAGGGTATTCCTCAGAGCATTCCATTCCTGTTGGATAAAAGACTAAAATACCCAAAGGGGACAGGATGAGAATGACATGTAGGTATCCGCTGTAGTTCCTTTTACAAAGGGCAGTTGAGTCATTTCGGTAAAACTTCATTTGACTTCAGTATAGTTAGTTATTTTTTTCATTAACGGGTAACATGGGGCTCAGGAGGGATACATTCTTAATTCTACGATGTTTACGAGGACCTACAGCAACAAGTAAGGTGATGGGGGATTTTTTGCCAAAATCTGATGTTTGCGTTGACTTTCAACAAAATTAGCTAACACACTACAACTGGCTGCTCCCCTCTATAGGGTACCTTGAAAACCGGTCGAAGCCCGACTTCTTCTTATCGGGCGACAAAGCAATGGAGGCAGGCGGCCCATTGGGCCACGTGGCGATTCACCCGCCCCCTGCTTCACTTTTGTAATAGAGGCCCATTTGTCTGACTTTTCTTTAAAGTCAACTTCGACTAGTAAGGAAAAAAAAGCCAGAATAGAGCTGTCAGCCTGTCGATGGGCCCCATTCGAGAGCTGTAACTAGTGTGGAAGAGATAAAACCCACGTAATCTCCACTTTAATATTTTTCAATTTTACAATAATAATAATAAAATATTAATTCCTATAAGTAATTTTCTGATTCAGTCAGTGAATATTTTTATGGAAATAATAAAGGATTAATTTTATAAATTACGATATAATTGAAAAAATAAAGAGGTATGGAGAAAAATAAAAGGGGATTTAAAATTCATAATTTCACTAAAAAAGGTGTATAGTTTCGCTAGGATGTCGATTAGGATGATGTCGGCGCCCAACAGTGACGGCCGCCGTCTGCCGGGACAACCACGGCAGGGGGGTCTCCATCGCCTTCGCTCTCTGTCATCCGGAAAGTGACGTGTCATCCTGTGAATGGTCCTGAAGCGGCGGCGGGCATCGGACGTCGGGTCTCAGAGAGAGAGAGAGAGAGAGAGAGAGAGAGAGAGAGAGAGAGAGAGAGAGAGAGAGAGAGAGAGAGAGAGAGAGAGAGATTAACGAAGAGGACGATTAACGAGGCCCAGCCGCTCGCGTGGGCCTAAGTCCATCCCAACGGACTATCGTGATGTGATGGGCGAATCTCGACGGTTCATGCGTCCCCTCTCTCCGTTGTCCCAACGGCTAAGCTTGCCCGCCCCGCCAATCACCCCCCCGTCCACTCGTTCTTCCCAACGGCTGGAGCCCTGAAGACTCAACTCGGAGATTCTCGCTCATCAGCAAAGTACAGAAAAACCCCCAAAAATCTGATCAAAGAAGAAGACACTCTGATCAAGATCTTATTCACAAAATGTACACGTCGCCTTTTAGTTGACCTGGTGGATCTTCCTCTAGCGGTTCCTAAAGTGTCCTACTGTTTTTCTATGGGCTCCCAAGATTTAACGTCTTTCTAATTTTTCTACGTGGGTTTTTTTCTCTCTCTAGAAGGGCGCTCTGTGGGGTATACCCTTCCGCCGGGAAGTCCGGTAGCTGGCTATCGGAGGAGTCGTCGGAGAAATGCTGCTCGCGGCAGCGCCCGTCTTGTCCTCTCCAGGTGCCGGCAAGCGCCTCTTGGTGGTGGCGGTGCCGCCGCCCTCCGGCGAGGAGACTGAGGCCTTCTTGAGCTTCTTCCCGGCGGAAGAGTCGTCCGATTCCCATTCGTTGGAGTATTCCCGGCCGGGTCTGGGTCGCAGGGAGAAGGTCAGCCCCGGGTCGCTCTTCATTCCCCGGAGCTGATGAGATTGGAGAAAAAGAAACGAAAATCAATCTCCTTTCCAAGGATCTAAAGAGTACGCAAATAAGCATTTTAGAGAGAGAAAGTGATTGGTAATGGGCGTGGTTGCTTCTCATATTTTAACAAAATAAGGAAATTTGTATGAAAATAAACGCCATAATTTTGCAAAAAATGGATGAACATTGGCGTAAAGTTTGTAGCTTCGATGAAGGATTGCTCGCAGACCTTGCAGCCGAGAGAGCAGAAGCGGAAGGCGTCGACGAGGCAGCGGCTGCAGGTCTCGCAGGAGTAGGTGACCCCCTTTCCCTGCCTCGGCTGTGGCCTCTCGTTGAGGAAGACGATCTTGGCGCTGTTGATGACGTAAGTCTGCACCCCCGACACGTCGATGAGCTTTGCTACCTCCGAAACCCTAATCCCGTTGTGGTACGACGATCTCCTTATCTACAATAAAGAGAAAGAAAGATAGAGATAGGTAGATAGATAGATAGACAGACCGACAGACAGATAAATAGATAGACAGACAGATAGATAGATAGATAGATAGATAGAGAGATAGATAGAGAGATAGATAGATAGATAGATAGATAGATAGATAGATAGATAGATAGATAGATACATAGATAGATAGATACATAGATAGATAGATAGATAGATAGATAGATAGATAGATAGATAGATAGATAGATAGATAGATAGATAGATAGATAGATAGATAGATAGATAGATAGATAGATAGATAGATAGATAGATAGATAGATAGATAGATAGATA